TGCTCGTGCTGCGCCTGGAAATTAGACATTTCGGGTTCGTCTATTTCTTCTTAGTCATTGCTAAAGATTAGAAATATGTTCCCACAAAGAAGTTTAATATTGACTGTAGTGGCAACTTAAAAGACCGGAGGTAATGTCTCAAACGTCACACGTGTCAAGGAATGAAAGCTGTCGGAATTATATTTAGTGGGTGGCTTAGCTAGTCTGTCACTTGATGGTGGTGGTAACACTCTTCATTGTTCAGTAAAATTTTGTCTTAATGAATATAAGGATATATATGATGAATATATTAATGAATATAGGAATATATATATAAGAATATATATATTAAGGAATATAGTTTTCTAGTCAGGTATGAAACGCAGCACAATCTCAACATTATAAAGCGATGTGAACACACCTCATATGTACAGTTGCAGTTTGCGGCGTTCGCCTTTCTTCGATAGCTTTTGATCGCATGGCCAGATAAACTGGAGTAATATCCCGGTCCAGCCGGCCACGTCTGGCAGGGGCTCCATGTCTCGCAGTAGATGGTGCAATGCTCCATAGGAGCCATTGTTGGGCACGCCGGTAACATTCACAATTCTGCGAACGCGTGACAAGTATTCTATTTAAAGCAGGTGCCAACCTGTAGCTGACTAAAGCCAGATCGTACTGATGGATAGATAATATGTATCGTATAACTTACATGTTTTCGCCTCCTGTAAGACTGCTTTTACACAGCGCGCGCGCGCACGCACGCAGCACGCCACGCACGCACGCACGCTCCTAGTAGAAGTAGAAGTAGTAGAAGTAGAAGTAAACGCAAAAGTAAGAGTAGAGGTAGAGGTAGAAGTAGAATAGGTCGGAGTAAAATAATCAAGAGCAAGCGTAACAGAGCATTAGCGCTGGTAATACCATCCAGCGGGCGTTGAAGAGCGCCGAATGCCTTAACAGCATGCCGTTAAACTTCACACGGGCTGGTAGACCGACGAAGATGAGTCAACATGCGCATTGGTTTGTTCAGTATCAAGCTGCAGGTTAACAGTGCTCTTTGCGGAATGTTTGTGGAGGCTAAAAATACACAACGTGGACAAGGGAGCAACATCCAAGCCTAGGGGTTTTCCCTATATATATATTCCTATATATTCATTAAGACAAAATTTTACTGAACAATGAAGAGTGCACCACCACCATCAAGTGACAGACTAGTTAAGCCACCCACTAAATATAATTCCCACAGCTTTCATTCCTTGACACGTGTGACGTTTGAGACATTACCTCCGGTCTTTTAACGTTGCCACTACAGTCAATATTAAACTTCTTTGTGGGAACATATTTCTAATCTTTAGCAATGACTAATAGAAATAGACGAACCCGAAAATGTCTAATTTCCAGGCGCAGCACGAAGTCTGTTGATCGAAAGTGTTAAACGAAGATGGTAATTAAATCCGTTGATTAAAAGTATTGATCGAAGTTGTTAATCATCGATGTTGGTCTGAAATTGCTATGAAGTTTAGTGCAGTATATTTGCCAAGCTATTCACGGTTATATTGATATGATGTCTTATTCGTTATCGTTTTCGCTTTGCAGAACGGCGACATGGATTTGATTGATAGCAGATTGAACATTGACATATCCATCTCGGGCCCTATTTTAAGCAAGCATGCGCCATGGGGTGCACCACGCGTGGAGAGATTCACAACGGACGACGTGTATTTGCTGCCACATGAGGACTATGTTCTAGGATACAGTTCCAGTTTCAAGGTCCCGCTTTGGGCTTCATTCAAGACCGACCAGGTTCGTTGCTGGCTCTAGTCACAAATTATCTGTTGCATGCACATTGCCATCAAGGCGTATGCGCCATATCAATAACTTTGCGGAACTTCTCTATTAGAGGGATGGTGTGCACGGGCCTTGTACCAGCCCAAGCCTTCCGTTTTAAAATACCCAGGAATCCGGTTGTGAAATACATGATAACAAATGGCAATGTTGAATAGTTATTGTAAATAATGAAAATGTTTCGCATATTTTCAAGCACGCAATAGAACACAAAATATTGTAGCTTCAACATACGGACGACGGCGTTATTTCACAGGTAGCAGAAAATGAAGAAGAACGTAAATTGAGACCTGTGTAGTAGTGGCGACCACGCGTGGATATATAAATCACTGAAGTGTGGTTAGGGTTAAGTTTAGGTTTAGGGTTAGTGTTAGTGTTAGGTTTCGCATTGGCGGTTGGGTTAGCGTTAGGGTTAGCGTTAGGGTTAGGCTTAGCGATTTCATAGCTTGAGGTTTCAAACGGGAAAGATAATTTCGGTGGATAATTCGTGTTTTCCACCCGCAACCTAAAACGAGATCTAGAGTTACCCGGATTAGGACACACGTCTGATTCGGGTTTGTGTCACGATAGTACCTGATAATTTACACGAGTACTGTAGTCAACCGGAAGATCCGGAATGGAGGGAGAAAATCGAAACCAAAACCACGGAGCTTTGTTTTGTTTTGTCGGGTGAATAAATGATTTTGCTGTTAATCCGTGTTGAGTTGGTACCCTGGACACAACACCAAGTTCGAGTTTACAACTGTTTTAATGGCAACATTGGCAGGGTCACGCCGGGTTCATGAGTGAGCTGCCAGTATGCGTGCGTGCTGACGTCAGACTGGACATTGACACACACGCTAGATGCTCAGACTACAGCAATGACAATGCGGAGACGGCCAACATCACCATGCAGGCGCTGTTTACTCCTCGTATGTAGTTTGCCAACCATTTCCTTCACATAATAGTGCGCAATTCATGTAAGCGTCACATAAAGTGTCAGAGTTCGCTGCACGGTTCCCTAAAGTAATAGAACATGGTCTTCTTCCGAACCCTGGCGGAGACCACAGGAACCAGTTAATGTGCGAGATATAAATAAATAGCGAGAACACTAGAAGTAATTCTAAAATCAGAAAATATCTACTAGAGCCGCATGTTTAGACGAATATTCTTGCCATTATCTGAGTAAATGATGTGAAGTGGTTTTACATCATGCACGGAAATGGTTAAACACCACTTTTATTATGTCCCTATCACGTTGGATTGTGGTAATGTGTTTTAAAATTTAATAAATTATTAATAATAGAAAATTAAACAAATACAGACAAGTGACAATTAACCAACAGAGCTTTTTCTGCTTAGCGCTGAATACAACAACGGAGAATCTTTACGATGCAGCCATCTTGACCAATTCTGTGCCGCAAAGCACAGGCTTTACCATTGGTGTGTAAATCGTACTTAATAGATAAATTAGTTAAATCAATAGGTGTTTTCGCACAACCATTTTCTTAATGTGGAATGATGCCAATGTGATGCAATGTGGTATGATGATGTAGATGTCAATATCTATTAGACGCTAATAACATCGTCTTTATATATCAACATACCTCAGTTTTTCTTTATCTTCTAACATTTTATTAGCACAAGATCCATTTTCCCTATTATTTATTTTACCATTATACCCTTAACTATTGTTAGCGTTTCCGCTTATAATAAGAGGGGAAATTTCTATTGCAGGCGTATGGAGACAGATAATGGATCACGTGACACGATGGGCACAAATATATGGGCCACTTAACATCGTGACAGGCCCTGTTTTTGACTACAATTATAATGGTGTCTACGACACGTTAGATGAGACTAGGTAAATGTTTTAATGCGAAATATATATTATCGGGCTATATAGCGAGAAACGCTGATTACTCCAATGCCGATTGTAATAGTATCCACACACTATCTTCAGTTGTTCTTATCATTTTCTTTAAGGGATTAACAAAGATGCACGGCCATATTTCTGACGACATTTCCCGCCTATTCTATAGTTCGCTGCCACGTTCTTTAATTCTACAAGATATGCATCCTTTTTCTGTGAAGGTTTATTTACGATGGAAGCACCCTGCCTTTTCCTACGCACTACTATGTGCTAGTATCAAAATGTTCAGGCAAGATCCAGGGCCAGCAATGTGATGAAGAGCTACCCGAGGTCATGGCATTTGTCATTCCAAACAGAATGGAGCAAGAGACCTGCCAGGTATATTTAATTTGAATCGCAATAGGTTAATAGACCAGATGTAGCATATGCCGAATAAGAATAAGCGTTCTCTAGTATACCTAATATTATACCGCTTTAGTGAAATTACACATTCTTATACTGCTAGACACGCACACACACACGCACGCACGCACGCATGTACGCGCGCGCGCACACGCACACACACACACACACACACACACGCACGCACACGCACGCACGCGCACACACACACAATGTTGCTACATCAGCAGCTGTTATCTAAGGGGTTCTTCCTATATCTCTTTAAGAGCTAAGCAATAACCTATATCTGCATCTGCATTGGGTGTCAGTTATCCCTTTGTGACAACAACTCTCCTCGCTAAACACCTACATTCTTTGTACGGCCTTTGTTTAGGGCGCCGAAAATATTTCCGACTAGTCTCCCACTGAATCGTCTCTAAGCACGTATAGCGCCAGTACATATAAGACATGTTCACGTATCTTTAGCAGAACGAGGTTGCCTATGGTTGCCTGGGCTTGGCTACGCTTACACACTAATGATGGCAATTACACTGTTATTGTCATAGTATTTCATAATTCATTTATTTATTTCGCGCAGGAAAATTGGCATTTTGGGACTAACCCCAGTTATGAATATAATATCAGGGGTTAATAATGTATTTGTCATTATTAACCCCTGATAATATCAAATTCTGATTATATCACTTCGTCTAGCTTACAAATACGCCAAATACTGTGCGCCTTCACTTTCACGACGCTCTCACTGAGTTTGTCTGTGCATTCCATTTTTTCAGAATATCACAGACTACCTGTTCACCCACACTGCATCGGTGCGCGACGTAGAGCGTTTGACGGGGCTGTGGTTCTACAGCGACCTCGACTACTACTCATCACTGAAGATGAAGCTGCTGCCGGTCCAGACACTGTGGACCACGGACAATTAGATCGCGGTCAGGCGGTCGATCACTCGCTACCTCTACGTTATAGGCGTTAGTGCAGAATTACGTCATGCCCTAGTGACAGCAATGAGAAGATTTTTTTACCACGAATTCCCTATTATAAATTCTACAATTATAAGTCATTGAGACCAAGCTATGTTTTGCGGTAAACTACGCACAGCATACCGAATTGTTGTGCGGAGATCCACATGAAGCATGTGACAAGTATAATGATACATGACATAATTAAAGGGACAGTAGCCTCTAGGATTTTACTGCATACAACTGTACTTACTGTATAACAAATCGTCTGTACCCACACGTATTTGTTACCAGATACCTAATTTAATTGTTATAATTAATTACACATCAACGCTACGAAATTTGAACGGCGCTATATGACACCCGCGACCGTGCTGCCACCCCGAAAAAGTTGCGTATTTGAAAATTTATTTTGCACGTTACAGACCGAGGGCTAATCACAAAAGTGCAATTATATTTATACCTAAATGCTATTTAACCGAACGATATTCATTTTAGGGCAAATTTATCCATATTATACCTGAAACTAAATGTCGTTTATAAGATATTTCCAAGATATTAC